CATAATGCGAGAGTACTTAGCAGTAATGAACATCAGGAGTTTTAGAAAAAGAATAGATCCTAACATTTATCGAGACCTTTAAAACTTATATAACTGTTCTTCATCAAGACTAATCGAAAAGTAATATCGATACTTTCTTATTTCAAAATTCTAGTAAAAATCCAAAGTTTGGCTGTTCCCTCTCTGAAAGCTTTAAAGATTCCTCAAAATTGTTGCCACTATTTTATTTTCATTACAAAGACAAGTCATCTCAATAAAATTATGGAGAAACATTACAAATTAATTTTGTAATGCAAGCTACTATTGAAAACATTCTTAGTAAAGTAATATTTATAATTTCAAAATACTGTTTGAAGTATCACCAATATTTTCTAGCTGTGCTTCAAAAATTGTTTAAATATACTCAAATACTAAAAGAGCCAATTTATATGCAAAAGCTACCCTGGTCTCCCCTCACAAAACAAAGGTGCCATAATTATAGAATGTTGTAAACATCCCCAATATTTATCCAAAAAGACTGCCCCGAACGAAAACAAGCACCATCTCCCACATTCCACCCCACCTCAAGAAAAAAGAAAGGCTTCCTACGACTTTATGGCATTCACCTGTTTTCCTCTGAAACTGCTTGGTTATTAGCATTTGAAAATTTTAAAACCAGATTTTCTTTTGAAGGCTTTATCACAAAATTTAAAAAGAAAAAAAAAAGAAAAAAAAAAGCACAAGCTAGAGAGGAAATAGCGAAGTGCTGAAGGAAAGAATTTTGGATATGACCCAAAATCTCATTTCCAGAGAGTCGGCTTCTGCTTCTCCGTTATGACTGAAACCACAGTTAGATGCTAACGGTGCCGCCCTACATGCCAGGGCTCTAAGACGCTGACCCTCTAAGTTTAGGAGTCTCTTCTCCTATTGGTGCTTATGTATTACTTTCATTAACGTTAATGGGGGTTATGAACAGGAATCACTGGTGAGGACCTAGTCTGAGGGTATAAAAAGTTTGGTTGTTATGGACACTATTATCTGGAGGAGGTGAGCACACTCAGAAAGTGACAAAGTGTTGAAAAGAGGTTCACAGCCATCATTCCCCTTCAACCAGTGAAAGGCGAGAGAAACGAATCTCGAGATAAGGAAAAATTTGTTTTCTCATTAAATAAAATAGTCATATTTAATATTAACTACTTAGATTTATGGAAATAAGCATTCTAGCAAGATCTGAATATATAAACAAATTTCAGAAAATTATTTTTTCAGTGTATAATGGAGCATTATATTTCATCTATTGGGTATTCATTTTAAACACAATAAGTGTCAGGTGAGGGATCACATGTTAAAGGAATAAACAGAAAGATGTTAAGGTTTTTCTTTTTAGTAGTCTTGAATATTTACAAGACAAACTCAAATATCAAATAGTAATCAGAATAATAAAGAAAAGGGTGAAAGGGTTCGTGAAATAATAGGACAACTTAAGATGCAGACTGTCAAACTGACGTTGAAATAATGTCGAAAATCTTGCAAAACCATTGCCACAGCAGTGACTTTGTTCTCATAATTAATTACTTAGAAATTTTTATGTACCAAGTGTTGAAATTCTACAATAAAATTATGCCTAACTTTTGTCAGATTAATAATCAGGTTTTCTTCTCTGCTCCCAACCCACACCATGTGATATTTGGGTACTTCACACCATTCAGCAGTAGAGCACAACAATGACAAGCACAAGAGCAACAACAAACTTGTAACGAATGGCTTAAAGAGTATCAATCACACTTTGCTCTCTCTCTCTCTAGTCTCTGAGAAAACCCATCTGGTCCTCCCTGCTGCCCAGTCCATGTGATTAAGAGGAAAAAGCAAGGTATCACTTTTCAACAGGTGTTATTCAGCCTTGATGAACTCTGGTATCCAGCGTGAATGTATATGAATAGGAGGGGGGAAAAAAGGCAGGGAGGAGGAAAGAACATTTAAAAAGAGATACATACTTGTCTAAACAGGGAGGGAAAAGAGCAAGATTCTTACATTCATTTTTGATAATGATAATCGAACTCTCAAATTAAGATTAAGCGAATCTCAAGCTATACCCAGACCAAACACAATGATACAGCAGCAGTAACAAAAACAGCCTAATTCCATAACCATATTATTTCAAATTTTCAAATAACCTCATTTTCCAGTGGGTTAATCACAGATCTTTGTTGGAAAAAAAAAAAAAGAACTTTCAAAATATAAAATATATTCCTGCAAAATATTGCACCAGAGAAGGAGGTACAACTACATTCGAGAGGAAGAAAAACAGAATCTCTGATAAACTTTGTCTGCAGCATTTATTTTTCGAGAAAGAGGAGGACCTGAGGTTCTTATCTGAAATAAACGATGCTAAGAAAGAGCACAGCAAATAAGGAATTAGAGATTAGGGCACAGGTGATAGAAACATCGCTGTTCATAGTGAAGAATCCAGGAATGAGGTTCATGTGCTGAGTGTAATGACAATGAAGCCACATAGGATGATTATAAAAGGCAAGAAAGCTTACTATGCACAGGGATGAAAACTGCCATCACGTACGGCTGCTACTACACGTTTACGCAAAGCTCAGTCTTTTTTCGTTTAGAACGCTGACAGAGATATACAAGATAACTATCTCCCCAGGCTCTCTGTCTTATATCTACCATCATAAAAACAGCTTGGAAGGAAATATTTGAACAATAATCCAAAGGAACTTCCAGGAATCATAAAATCAACATAACAGAATTTATTTATTGTACCAAGGAACACTTTGAAAAGTTTCCGTGGAATGCGAATGAATGTACAGGAACTCATAATTAAATAGCACTTTTAATTTTTTTCATTAAATGTCTTTCTTTTTAAGGAAGCACAAGTAAGGTCAATAGCACTAGTCCTAATCTCTTAATTACCACTATTACACTTAAAAATCTAATCTACGGGCACTGAAACATTGCTATAAATAATTCAATATAATGAGCTCAATATTCTCTACCAATAAATCTCAAACAGAATTTCCTGGGGAGCTTAACAAAATGTAGATTCTTGGGCTCCACCCCACATCAAATGAAAGAATCTCTGGAGGTGGGACTGGAATACAAATTCAGCTCTCAAGGTAATTCTTAAACATGCTCTGTTTGGGAACCACTGTTTTAAATTTTGCCCTTGGAGAGAGTATGTTTCTTGATAAGAGTCTAATTTGTATTTGTTCTTTAAGACCCAACTCAGGGGTTATCTTCTCCAGGAAAATTTGTCTGAACTCCATGTTGTACTCCTAGTCTACTGAACTTGTATCATTCTATGGCTGTTTTCCTACCTTAGAATGCAAGCTCCATGAGGGCAAAGATGTTGTCCAACTTATTATCTTTGCATTTTTGCATTTAGAATACTACATGGTGCATAGTAGGTACTCTTATAAATATATATGAAATGAGGGAATAAATGAACCCATGCATACCACGAGTTCATTAAAACTGAGACTTATATAACAGTATTATTGATTTCTTCCATAAGGAATTTAGTTCAATTCAGTATTTATAACGTGCCTATCATGAATAAGGGGTACATAAAGGTAATAAGACAAGGCATTAACTACTACCAAGGGGAAAAGAGAGACATATGCAATAAAATTAGCTGTAATCCAGTTAAACCTTAATAAAGGGTACAGAAGAAACATAAATTCTCTTTGTGAGAGCACAAAGGAAGACAGATCTTTCCTTTCACCACTAGTATGGGAAAGATATATGCTAATAGATATAGACTATCCACTTTAAAGGGTAGAAAGGTGGTCATACACAATTAAAATATCTTAGATTCCCAAAAGTGGACAAGGAGCAGAATAAATTAATGCACTTTCAGAATATAAGTAAGTAGAGCCTAAACTGGCAGAGTAAAATTAAATCTCCAAGCCTTTGAAAATCAAAGTCATCTACGAATATGACACCAAAGTACCATTTGTGTCCTGAGAAGAAAAACAATCTCTAATTTTTATTTTGTCTTGTATTTCTCTTTCCCAAGCTCTGTTTGTTCTTTTCTTTTTCTAGTTCTGCCATTCAATTAAAGTGGGTGGATTACTGATGAATATGATGCTGTTCTGTTTCTCTCGCAGCTAGTAGAGAGGGATGCGACTGCAAGATGCACATTATAGGTCTTAGTGTAATTTATATCTGAGTTTTAATCCCAATTCTACTACTGACTTACTGGATGACCTTGGGTAAGTCTGTTTAACCTCTATGCTACAGTTTTTTCACCTATAAAATGTTGATAATATTACTGACCTCATAATATTGTGAGAATCATTGTGCCAGATCTCAGTAAATTATAGCAGTTATCAACATCTTTATTATACATTTTGGTGGACACGAATAATATTTTAATTTAAAAAAATACTTTGTAGATGTTTAACTTTGTACAATTTAGAATTTGGTTGGTGATGCTGATACGTTCAGTATTGGCCATGGGTGAAATGGGGACGGTAAATGGGAAAAAAGAAAGAAAAAGTTTTGATAACAACTATCGATGTGAAATAATATAATAACTATTAATGAGAAAAATCTCCACGAATTGACTAGTCTATGCAGGCAAATGGCAATTTTATGCAAGTGAGTTTGTGTCATTTCTATTCATGTCTGGATAGAGACCTTCAACAGAATTTGTTGGTGACTACTGTTCTTAATCTAAAATTTATGCCTTCAAATAGCTTATCTCTCAGTTCACTTGAAAAACTATGATACCTATGGTCTCCATCTTCACCTTGAAGAACACCCTCAATTCTCTGACCTCTTCCCTAATGCAGCTCTCTTGCTTTGTAATCATTGATTATGTTTCTGATTCACTTGATAAGAGAAATGAAAATGATGATGGTATTAAGAAAATGATTTAACATATAGCCCTGGGCATCTGCACTGGATGAGACTGCCCTACCAGGCCCTGCACTTAAATACATGTATATTAATTATGGTAGTTTAGATATTTTCTCTTCAGTTTTTCCCTTTTTTTTTTAAAAAAAAATTGTGGTCCATTTATTATTTTTGTCACTAAATACGTTATTGAGAATTCACTGAATGCATAGTAAGAAAATATGCAAATGGTTTCACACAAAATGTGGATAGTACAGAAGACCAAAATTGTAGAAGAAAGCTTCTGAAAGGTACGAGGATATTACACTAAAACTCTTTACTGATTTGAAATACACTTTGTTTCTTGGGCAGTAATAAAAAAACTACATTTTGCAGCTCATTTGGGAGACAAAGTCTGTAATTCTAGGCTCAGGAATTACATGAATGCCAGTCAATTGCCACATTTGGACTATCTCATTTTATTTAAAACGTGGGAGATTTTAAGAGAACAATAAGAAAGTGGGTTGTCTTTCTCAAGTTTCTGAGACAACACCTGCTCCCCACCGGTGGGCCCCTATTTGCTATAATTACTGAGATATAAGATTTTGCCTTTAAGCCTTCATGCAAATTTGAGCACACAAAAGAGAAGGAGTACTGTCTCATACATTAGATTCAGTAGAGTGAAGTGGGTCTCTTGAGTCCTATTTAATATTTTTCTAAAAGAATAGACAAACTTTTGGGAGTAATTACTCTAAATTGTGTCAATCCACAGGATAAAAAGATATATATTTTGCTGTGTGTAGAGGAGGATGGCAGCAAATAGCACCCAAACCAAATAAATTTCTAGCAAATATAGAAAAGAGAAAAATGATCCATATACTTGCTAAGTTTTTCTATTTAGTTATCTGGAAAAGCCAGGGCGCCTTCATCTTTATGTGTATGTGTGTGTATGTGTATGTGCAGTGTATGTGCAGTGTGTGTGCACGTCCAGGCATGTGTGTGTGTACACACAGATGCACATACATGTAATTCATAATCTTTGAGGACTTGGCGGCTAGGGTAGAGGTAGGGTCCTTCTTAAACGTTTTTAAATTGTTAATTAATTTTTAGGACATATTAGATTTGATTCTTATACCAGGCAAGCCCCTAAGGATATATCAAAGCACACACACACAATTCTGGGCATAGTCTGAAAAAAGACAGATTTAACATATAACAGCTAGTTAGGTCTTTTCCTTACTGAAGGAAAAAGCACCCAGCTGTTTTTATATGTTTGATCAGGCTTTGTAATGGCTACAAATAAGACCGTAACTTTATTAGGAAGATGCCAATTGTTGGCAATGCAGTCAGTTGTTTCAAAGCCAGAAGAGATACTTGCAGCATCAAATGCCTGAAACCATCTTCTCAGTAAAATCTACACCCGCCCTTCGAATCTCTGCACACCATTGCTGAAAATACTTTAAAAGAGATATTTTGCCATTTGATTCAGTCTAACTTTACAATCTGACTCATAAAAAACCCTAGAAAGGATGATTAATGTAACAATAAAAAACGAATTTTCCCCTTTAATGCAACTCTATATCACATACATTCTTAAACCTCATGTCGCCCAATACAGAATCTGTATTTTATCTTATAATTCATGTGTATTAATGTATAGAGCTGCCATTTTTTAAAACTAAAAATATTAGGAGTTCACTGTCTTTTTGGATTTCTTTTAAGGCCCTCAGTACAGCCAAGTTGAAATAATAATATCTGTACATGGTTTAGTTATTATGGTAATAACAAGTTCTAGCTTACGATAATATATAGTACTTAGTTGAGACTATGAACAAAGTTATATACTGCTTTGCAGTAATTGCTAAATAGTTTGTTTTTTGTTTCATTTAGCTAGAAATAAGAAAGAGAAAAAAAGAAATATTTTTCATCTATATAAAACAGTCTATTTAATAAAGTATATGCATAAAATTATATATTAGGTAAGAAGCAAAATTAAAAAGAAAACAGCTTATAATATTCCTGATTAATCAGAGTTCCTAAATATAAAAACGACAAATGAGAATGCCTTGCCATTTAAAAAACAGCACATTTGACAACTTTTACATACTTCAGAGGAAATAAAGAGCTTGTGACACTGTTCTGAGGAATCTTTAAATTTATAAAAATCGAAGGCCTAATTTTGCAAATACAACTTTTAAGCTGTATGAGCAAATTTAACTTACATGAAAGGCACAGGATGACATCACGTTGAAGAACGTATCTGTAAATTTCATAAAATCTAGTCACAAGTCACTAGAAACTTCATAAGGAATCTCAGGACTGTTTCGAACATGATGTTCTGGTTCAAACAGAACTGGAGAGTCTTTAACATCACAAATACAAATTGAAGTCAGAGTGAAGATTGAGAGAGAATGGTTTCTTATTTGAATGCTACCTGCTTTACGCAGTGTTGGTTACTAAATACTCAGAGCAGATCATTAAAATTGTCTTTGAGTTGTTTTCAATTTTCACCACCTTATCTACTATATTTTTCAGTTTGTAAAAAATGCATTTGCACATTACTACAACTTTAAAGAGTCAATTGTTGAAATTTTAAGGTAAGGTCCTGCTCTATTAGCTTCCTACATTGGAATACAGGAATACAGGAAGTGCTTTCAACAGAAAGTTACAAGTTCTACAGTACAACCTGTCTAAAAGACTTGCAAGGGACCAGTACAGCGACTTGGTCTCTTTGGATCAGGCAAAAGCAGAGGCAAATGAAAAAACGGATTTTTAAAGTAATATATTAAAAAAACTCCTTTATGAAAATGAAATCTTGCTTGCACTTAGATTTAGTGCTACTGGAAAAAAACTGAGGCACAACGAAACTAAATGCACAAAGGGAAAATGTCAGAAATAAAACAATTCTCAGTGTGATGGAAATCCTTCAGCATTAGATACGATTATGACAGAGTCAGGAAGAACTACTTTCTCATATTAAGGAACATTTCAAACACCAGGGATGAGCCAGTCAAAATTTGTTTTATGGGTAATATGTAGGGTGATACTGTTGCAATGAAAAATTATGATTTAAAAAATCACTTATAATATTGATTTTTTCACGAAATGACTGGCTTTTTTGCTAAAGTAAAATTAACTTCAAAAGCATGTTCTTAAATTAAAGCTCTGAAAGACTGTTAGTTTAACAATGACGACATAAGTTTTTCATTTTCCCAAACAAGCTCTACCAGAGACACGGCCTTTCTCCATTCATGTCAGTGTTAAATGTTCTTCCCACAGGACTGAAAACACGTGGTAGAATGCTGGAGATGATTCTTCAAAGAATAACTCTTCTAATGGTGACTAGGTAAAAACGGTAATGCTGCAATAGGAAGCAACGCTGCCTGGGATTGCAGGCGCTTGTTTATCCTAGTCATCATGACTCTAGCAGTGCGTGCCATCTACATACTTGCTGTCCTTTCGACTCTTTCATTTCAGTCCAGTGATTGAGTTCCTCTTCTCCAGAGCTGTTCAGACCTAGAGAAATCCAGCCTATCATCTCCTTTCTTTTCATGCTGCGTTTGTTATACACAGACAGTATGAGTGTCACATCAGAAAGTTGAAATAGGGCCACTTGAAAAACAAAAGTTTCCTTGTATACTGGATTTGGCTGCCCTCTGCGGATGGAAGTTTTGCATTTGGACATCTCTTGACCCATGGAATTCAGTAGAGTTAATTTAACATATGTATCTATAGAAAAAAACAACAATTTACCACAAATATCATTTGAAACAAACTGAAAACATCTTTCTTGTAATATTTGCTAAGAAGATTAAGTATTTATACTTTATAAGGATATGGTGTATACCATGTTTCATGGAAATTGAACTAATTCCATTTGATGTAAATGCTTATAACATGTAACGGGTACAGAGAATGCTAAGTAGGCAGAAAATCTTTTGGGGTTACTAGTATCTTAACCTCACTATTTCTACATTATAGTTAGAATTTGAAGGTATACCTCATAATCCTTCCTCCACCCTTCCACCCCGTCCTTGACCTCCCACGACCTCCCAGCCCATCCCCATCCCCCTTTAGCTTCACTAAGCAGGACGTCATAGCATTGATAAACACTTAGCAAGCTCAATTAGCCACAACACTGTAAAGCATTCCACTGTGTTTTCAGAGAAGAAGAATAAACGAACAAATAGAAATGAAGGCAAATGGTGAGGAGGAAAAGAAGAAGACAAGAATGCAAAGATGATATCGAAACAGCTTAGGATGAAATGTCAAAAAAATCTCTGCATGGATGTGGTTTTTAATTATATTTTAAAAACATTTACGGGCCAAAGTGAAGCCAAATGCATTAGGGGCTCAAAGTTCAGCAAATCAAGTAAGACTTTCTCCTGGTTTCATGCAAGAGTACATTTAATGTGCTTTTTGGATCATTAAAATAAGTACTAGAGGATTCCTTTTAGGCACAGTTCAGTGTCAAATTTCAGATATGGTATCCGAACTATTTTTCATGAATTATAAAAGAAAACGGATGTGATGTTTAGTGTACAAAGTGAAACATGACGGTTCACTGCCTGATTATTTGGGAGATAAACCCTCTCTTCAAACAACTGTGTTTTCAAGTTCTTTCAACTCATGCAAATGATCTTCAGCATGTTGATCCATCATGTGTACTTCATATCAAAATTTCAATTAATTTTAATGAAAATTGCAATATTTCTCATGAAGTAACTATTTCTGTTGTATGAATCAAAATATAATGAATGAAAAAATAAAACTTTAAAAAGTTTTGCTTATTTTATACATACTCTGAATACCATCATCCATAATCAGAGATAAATTCTAAGTTAGTTTTATTTAAAGTACCACAGATAATAAATGTGCATTTTTTTTTGAAACCAACATGGTGGACAGCTTCACTGCTGGCAAGTTTTAGGGTATTTTGTTTTCGCATGAAAAGACAACATCCAATTAGCCTCTACAGGAACTCACCTCGGATTATATAAACCTGTCCACCTATCAAGTGTTTTAGACAACAGAACAGTCCATCTGACAACAGGGGGTGGAAAGCAGTAAAAGAAATAATGACCAGATGTCAATTGTTGGGTGAAAGAGGGTCAAAGGTTAGAATTAAAGAGGAAACACTGTTCACTGGAGTGGAAGAACACAAAACTTTAGCATTTTAATTCAGGTAGAGGGTTGAACAAAAGGGTAGTTGGGTAAAATTCATGGAATGAGAATTTTTAAGGTCATTGTGTAATCTTAAACAAAAATTACACTCTTTTAAAGGGGGACATCTTTATAATGATACCCTCTTGGTCTAAAGCACATTGAACATAGAATCATGCAAATTACTAGGCTATAAAAGACTGAATCAAAATCATTATAGAATCATTATTATTAATATGCTATATTTTAAAGTTTATTCATGCAATATTTAATATTTCAAATACTTTTATTACTCTCAATATGACATAAATTTAAGTTATGCAAAATAAAATGGAATTATCAAAATCTTTACGCTTGAATATTGCTAGTGTTTCTTTGGATAAAAATTGCATTATTTAGTCTACGACACAGTTCAAAGCTTAGACCCTCGGTATATATGAAGGGTCACAATCTCATATAATATACACTGTATAAGACAAACTGATAAAACTGCCTTATATTCTACTTTATATAATCACTTCATGTAATTAATTTTAATGTTGACGTATATTTATCTACTAGCTGTCTCCCAGCTAACCATCCTGATACTGAAGATTTAATTCTAAAATAATGGATGTTGCTATAACCTGTTCTTTAAAACCTGAAAGACCTACTTTATGTTGTGGATTCTAATCTCTCAAGCTGTTTATTACCCACCACCTCCACCTCTACCCACTTCCCTTCATTTTAGTTCTGATTAGGTTTTCTCTGTTTTTGTCAGAGTGGGTAGAACAAGGACAGAAAGGCATTTCATTTCATTCTGCTACTTTTTAGCATCTTAAGTTAAATATTTGTCAAAAAATTAAACTATTGGCTAAAGTAGGAATGGCAAACTGATAATTTGTGGCTAAATGCAACCCCAAATACTACTTTGTTTATCTGGTTCAGTGCTCAAAAATTTTTTTAAATCTGAATGTCTTAACGCAGGTGTGCACCCGTGCATTTGTCAAAGGCCTCCATTCTCCTTATCTTTCATCTGCAAATTTTGCTCATATAAGTTACTTTCCAGGCCATTTGAGTTTGCATTCTAAGTGTGTATTAATGAGGATAACCAAGTCACACTTCCAAAGCTGTTTATTCTAATCATTGCTTCTTTCCCCCCTCTTAATTTTTCCTTCTGAAAAGAGAAAGGGGACAATAATAATTCTGTCCTTCTTTAATGCACCTTTATCTGATTTGAGTTTCACAGTTACCCTGTGAGAGACACAATCTTAATTTTATGGATCAGGGAACAGACTTAGGGGAGTTAGGTCACTTGTCCAAAAGTAGAAATATAAACATAATTTTGGCCTTCTGACTTTAATTCAGGGATAGATACATTCTGTGATGTATATAAGCAGCAAGGTTTCCAATACTACTTGGAGCAAACCAAATATGTTTCTATGACTTTTCACATTGATTGAAAAAATAATTTTTAGGACATTCAGAAGTTAATTTAATTCGAGGGTAGAAAAAGCTTCGTCTCCTTCAAGAATTATTTGATACTTGAAGATTACTTTAAGCCAGTCTGTAAGAAATCTTTAAAGAAATTTAAGGTGGCCATTATTATTTAAGATTTCATTTCAGATTTTTAGTTTAGGGCATTAACAACAACTGTAATTTTAGAGGAGTATAAAGAAACTGTTACTTTCTCAGTATAGTTCTATAGATGTCAACAAACAGTTTTGCAGGTATGCTGGGTGACAATTTCTCTGTACTCCCATAACTTACCCACACCCCTTCCCCCTTCCCCCCGCAAGCTGGGAGAGAGGAGACAAGACAGAAGAGTGAGAGGAACATAGGCAGGGCAGAGGGAGACCATCTAGCTTCCCCTTCCTAGCATTTAGGGTAAATATCAAACTATTCTTTATTTTGTTTGTCTTGGTAGAGGCAAAGTACATTCCATTTACGAAAAGACTCTAGTGGCAGTATGAATTTATAATTTTAAAGGAGGAAAAATGTGAAGAAACAATTTCTTCTTATATTGTTATGGGAGAAAAGAAGGAAAAATACAGAAGTTTATACATTATTTCATAGTACAGCATGCAGACGGAAAACACAACATCAATCTTCAGGTAACAATAGCTACATATATTTCTGATCATATTTGTGGAATATTATTAACTTTAAAAAACCTTGTAACTTTTTCTGGCTTTAGAAGATAATGGTTATGATAGGAATAATTTATTCTGCTGACACTATGAAAAATTAATTAAAAGTCTTGTCGCTGTACAATTAATATTTTGCATTTCAAATTTTCTACTTCCCAAATGACTGGAAATAGAACACATGAAACAGATTAGCTGATTACACCATTTCATTTTGATCAGTTAAGGCTAAATGATAGGACTGAAGCCCTTACCATTGAAAGTCCCATAAGTGCAGAAAACATGAGAATTAAAAAAATGTCTTTCACTCACTGGGTGGTCTGTTTGCTGCCAAGTTTTTGAAGTGGCTGCCTTTTATGACTTCTGCTGATAGTCTTCCAGTCGTGGCATTATAAAGCAGGCCAATGAGAATTTCTGGAACTGAGCCATGTTCAAGAGACTGACATGAGGATGTACTTTCACTACAGGACACCTCTGACATGCTCATTTGGGAGTCGCAGCCCTGTAATCAAAAGTGAAATCTTTATAGTATTTTGTAAAAAAGATATGTTGTTAATGCTGTGTTTATTGGAATTAGGTAGGTAAATCACAATGACCACAAGAGTTGCAAGCAAAATACCCAAAAACTAGGATTATGAATGTTGTTCTTAGCATATTTTAGTCCCTGGATCTCTCTTCATTATACAGCAGTCAAAGAAATAATAAGAGATGAGGTTTCATAAATACCTGCATATTTATATACGAATCAGAGAAGATAAATTTCTTAAACTCATAGATGTTAATGAACTATTTTCTGAATACGAAACATTGTTTAAAGACTTATTGACCTTAAAAGACTGACAAAGATTTAGACTCAAATTACATTAAATGTAAATGTCTTAATTGTGTCTTTAAAGACAAAGACTGGCAAACTTTGATTCAAAAAAAATAAGATAAAACAATCTTCTATTTATAAACCAATTTGTAAAACACAGAGAAAGTTGAAAAAAATGGGAAATACTTAGATCCAAACAATAAGCAAAAGAAAACTGATGTAGATACATTAGTATCACTAGAGGTTAGCTTGAAGGCAACAACCATTACTTAGAGATGAAGAGATACACTCGATAATAAAACTTCCGATTTACCAAGGAAGATAAAATAATTCCAAATTTGCATGCATTTAATAACATGGGCTCAAAATACAAAGCGAAAATTTCCGGAACTAGAAAAAGAAACTCATAAATTCAAAACCAGTGGGGACTTCAGCACACTTCCTTCAGCAACTGACCAAACAAGCAGACGAATAAATACAGTAAAGGTGTAGGAGATCTGAATATCACGATAAGCAAAATTGACCTAATGGTAATCTGTAGAACACCATACCTTACAGAATATACATTTTCTCAAGCTTGCAGTGGAATTTTTACAAACATATTTACAAAAATTAAGCAAATAACAATGAATTTTAAATGATGGCCATCATTTGGAATGACTGTTAATCAACTAGAAATTCAAGCTATCTTTTAGTGAAAAAAAAAAAATGTTTATATACTTGGAAATTAAGGATACACTTCTAAATAACCTATGAGTAATTAAATAATAAAAATAAGTTATATGAAAAGATTAATAAAAATAGATAAACATTGGAGACACCAATTAAGAAAAAAAAGAGAGAAGGCCCAAATAACAAATATCGGAAATGAAAAAAGAGACATCACTACATAGTCTCTACACACCATAAAAAGATGAAAGGATAGTATGAACAGCTTCCTTGCAACAGATTTGAAATTTTTATACAACAGACATATTCTTAGAAAACTGTAACTAACCAGAATGTACACAAGAAAAAATAGAATATTTAAACAGTCTTATTGAAAAAGTTAAATTTGCAAATCAAAACCTGTCCAAAACAACGAACAAAACTAGAAAACTTTAGCTGGATGGCTTCACTAGCGAATTCTAATGAATAATGCTAGTCTTACCCAAACTCTTTCTTTTTTGAAAGCAGAAACACTCCCTAGTTTCCTTTAAGGATCTAGAAAAACCTTCAAACTGAAACCTGACAAGGACATTATAAAAAATTTTAGGATTTTCTCGTTAGAGTCACAACCCTAAATAAACTATTAGCAAACCAAATCTAACATCACACTTAATAGAAAAAAGTTTTAATGTTTCTCTTTTGAAATTGGGGATATGACAATGATGTCATCTATTACCACTCTTAGTAACACTGTAGTGGAGACCCCAGCAAGCGGAGGTCCTAGCCTTACTAAAGGCAATGCCATGAAATAGAAAGGTATAATGATCTGAAAGAGGAGGAGATGTGGCAGAGGTCATGTGCAGATTATGTAATTATGTAAACAGGAAAGTTAAACAAGTCTGTAGATAAGTTAAAGTTGCATGTAACGCTAAAAATTTTAAATCTATACATTGTTGAATGGCAGCAACAAATCTGAAAATAAAATTTATTTTAAAATAGGATTTATTAGAATATAAGATATAAAATACCTAGGAATAAAATATAACAAATGATATGCAAGGCCGGTATACAGAAAACTATGAATATTACTGACATTTAAAAGTTCTACACAGATATATTTTAATATAGTAAAAGGCTCAATTTTGTAATATTCCTTCTAAACAGATCTCAATGGATATAATCGCAATCAAAATCTCAACACATTTCTTTGTGGAGCTTGACAAGCTAATTCGAAAATGTATGTGGTATATACATGTAATGGAATATTATTCAGACTTAAAAAAGAAGGAAATACTGCCATGTGACAAAATAGATGAACCTGGAAGACATTATACTAAGTGAAATAAGCCATTCACAGACAAATACTGCATGATTCCACTTACATGAGGTATCTAAAATAGTCACACTCATAGAAGATAGCAGAATGATGGTTACCAGGGCATGGGTAGAGGGAGAAACAGAGATTTGTGTTCAGTGGCTATAAAGTTTCAGTTAGACAAGATGCATACATTCTAGAGATCAGCTATACAACACAGCGTCTAGAGTTAATACTGTATTGTACACTTAAAAAAGGGAGATATCATACTAAATGTTCTAGCCACAATAAAATAATAAAATTAAATATATAAGGTAGGAGGCTATGCTCTAGGGAGTATCAAAATTTATTATAAAGCTATATCATTTAAGATAATGTGACAAAAACAATGTAAAACAGACTAATGAAGTAGAAAGCCTACCAATTAATCTATGCATATATAGACACTCAATTTACAACAAAGGTGGACCACCAGGCATTGGTGAAAGCATAATATTTTTAATAAATAGTGGTAGGACAACTGGTTATCCACATAGAAGTAAATGAAAATTAATCCCTACCATCCGACGCCACAGCTGCAGAACTATTCAAGTCTTCGAATGATTACATATCGGGAAAGCCAAATTGGTCATTTCATGTTGGTACATGCATGGACGGAGCGGCTGCCGTGACTGGACGGCTTTCTGGTTTCACTGCTGGGGTCAAAGAGGTCGCTTCTGAATGTGAGTCTACGCACTGTGTCATCCATAGAGAAATGCTGGCTAGCCGAAAAATGTCACTCGAACTTAACGATGTTTTGCAGGAGGTGATTAAAATTACAACCGCATTACAGGACACAACCTTAACTCACGTCAGCTCTAAGAGATGGACGCAGAGCACATGCGTCTTCTTTCTACAGGTGGTCACTGGCCAGCGTGTCTGAGCTACAAAAGCCACTCCAGAGATTTTAGAAAGACAGTCACCACTGGCAGCACATTTCAGTGACACAGAATGGGTCCCAAAACTTGCTTACTTGTGACATACTCAACCTGTTTAACCAACTCAATCTGTCACTTCAGGGGAGAACAACTATGTTCACGTTGGCAGATAAAGTGGCTGCATTCAAAGCCAAACTGGAATTATGGGGGTGATGAGTGAACATTGGGATCTTTGAC